TGGACCGTAACATGGAATCCTCTCATTCATCCCTCACCTGACACCCATTTTACAGTCCATAATGGATGGGGAGTCAAACTCAGAGAGCAGGTCTTCCATCTGGTTGTAGGCCTCACCCTCCTTCTCCACCACACCGTAGTATCCAGGGACGAAAGGCCGCAGTGTGTCCCGGTTCAGCCATTCCAGGCACTGCTGTTCACACTGGCAAAACTTCTTCAGGATCTTCCCGTATTCTCCGGCCTTGAAGTTACCTGCAGGATGTCAGGTCGTAAGTCACTAGCGTACATTGCCCTATACATTGACCCCTTCCTTCCACTATATTATTATTTACCGATGAGCCCACTAGGTCACCAATTCCAAAAGCAGGGTAGCCATCCTCACTGTGAGTAGTACAAACCAAGGCTCGGATATACAGCAGCACAGAGTACTTGCTTTCATAAAAGCCAGCAATTCCCAGTGGATTGGAGTGTGGAAAATTCGGCACTAAGTGGATTCTATAACCCAACCTCTCCATGTTTCAAGAGAAAAAAGAAATCCCTGTACAATCTCCATACTTCCTCCTCAGCTATTTTTAAAATCACTACAAATACCTGAAAGAATGTGTGATAAGATAGTATGATCTCCGTGGGTGCCTGGGATAGATAGCAGGAAATAAGCCTTACGTACAGTTCATGACAAAGGGAACTACATCTGACATCCGTATGTGACATTTCCTGTTACCTGCATGTCCAGCCAGCTGGACCCATGGATAATGCTTCTTGAAGGATACCACGAAGGGTGACCAGTGGACCATGTTCTTCAGCTTCCTCCAGGATGTGTTCTACAAGACAAGAATTCCACACTGAGATGAGATCAATGATCACACTGTGCAATGTAAGTCAATAGAAAACATTGATCGACAATTACATCCGACTAGTTACATAAAAAGGAGCATGGGAGTCTTGCAGAGAGCTCTTAGGCTCCATTAGCACCTAGGCGTATTGTTGCAGCTGATTCACGGTGACAAAACTCATCACCCGAGGAATCCTATTCATTTCTATGGCCCCCCCCGTTCAGACCATGCGCAGAATATGCGCGCAAAAAAGACACGCGTAAAATGCGCAGAATAGGTGTTGCCTAGGTGTGAATCCAGCCTAATAGCACCAGAGCCCTGGGTGGATATCTCACCACACAACTGGTAGAGGGTTTGTATTCTTTTTTTTTTTTTTTAACAGGTAAAGGAGGGTTTGTATTCTTAATGATGGTAAGAATACCACCGATGCACCGATACTAGTATCGGTGCCGATACCGGGTATTTGGGCACCCAAATGCTCCCGGTGCCTATCCAGATACCAGAACCGGTATCAGGAAGCCAGGAGGCGAGTCATTACACGCTGCCCGGCGTCCTGATTGGCCGGGAAGCCGGCTCCGTGCTCCCTTGTCACCAGGGAGCCGTCTTCCAGGCCAAAATAAGGAAGCCGGGGGGAGGTAATGAATAGCTTCCCCGGCTTCCTGACTGGCCAGGAAGCCTTCTCTAGACTCCCTGGTCAATTGGCCCACCTCCCAGCCAATCAGGAAGCCATGCACCGTGTAATGACTCGCCGCCCGGCTTCCTGATTGCCCAGAAAGCTGGTTCCACTCTTCTTCGTCAGCTGGTGATGAGGGAGCATGGGGACGGCTTCCCAGTTAATCAGGAAGCTGGGTTGGCGAGTCATTACATGCCACGGGCCTTCCTTAATGGGACTTCCGGTATCGGTATTGGCGAGTACTGAAAAAAAATATAGGTACTCGATACCGAAAAACCGGTATCAGTGCATCTCTAATAGACAAACAGTTATGAGCCTTTACAGTTCTCTATATGTACTCTGTATACAAAATAACATAATCTGATTGACGTTTGTCTTCTTGTAATAACCCCAATAGAAGAGCAAGATGTCGTTTTATAATGAGGTGTGAAAATCACAAACAGTTCCACTTGCACAATGGCCACAGGTACAGGAAATAGATCTAATCAGAGGAATTTACTTTGCAATGTTATACGAGAAGCATACTAACAATATCCTCAGTACTCAGTAAAGGAACTAAGCTTTGGTAATTCTTGTACTAGGAGGGGTTAAGCCCCTTTGTTCTGTGCAAATACTGGGATGTACTGTATGGAGTAAAAGGGTCACTTAAAATAAGTCACATAGAACACCTTCCCTTCAAGTGTCTTGTCTTCCTGTGAGAGATTTGAAGGTGGTCACTGGAGGGACCATTACATTTCTATAAATCACTTCCATGCTTTCCAACTGATCAGCCACACAGGGAGTGCATTGTTTTAGAGGGCTGGCAACTCACAGACTTACAAAGCAAGAAAGAGCAGTAAAGCACAACCCTTGTGAAGCAAAGCAGGAAAGGGAGCCTGCCTATGTATGTAAAACTAATATGTCTGTTAGCATGTAAATATCTAACTACATACAGTCTTCCCATTTGTTCTGGTCACCCTTGTCCCATAAAGTGAAAGGAAATTCTAAATTTTAGGGTAAGTGGTAAGGGTAAATTATGTCATGGGAACACCAGTTCCAATGAGAACTGTCTTACTATGGGAGGCTTTCCTCTCATTTCCTGTTTGGTGTCTAGGACAGGATGTGAAGAGAAATCTCTCCAGAAGGACACAGTGGTATTTAAGATGCACCTTCCCTAGACACCACATGCAGAATTCTAGTCAACTCTGTTGTGGAAGGCAACAAACGTTCTGACTGAACTACTAGGAGGGTCTGGCAGGGTCTTGTAGACATCTGAGGGCTTTGGACCATTGTCCCCCCCAGCTCTCACCATGAAACAAAATAAGATAATCACCTAGCCAGAATTCTCCATCAAAGAGGTGCCGTAGGTTCCAATTTACATCCTCCGTGAGTGTTTGGAGGTTAGGTGATGCTTGCTGAACAACACTATGTGGCATCCAACAAGCATTTGGCAGGACTTGAATGTTCATGAGTACCTGACTTATCGCAGAACACAAGGAAGACGATAATCCTAGCCGAGGGTTGTGGTGCGTATGCAGCAGAAGTGGTTTCAGGAACATCAATAATTCTAACAAGCGTCGTCTGCTCTTCCTACAGAAAGACATAAACAAGACGACGTCTCCGTTCTGGATGGTGTGGTGGCTGACAGCTTGAAGTCATCCAATTAATTAGTAACCCGGGGCTCTGCAATGTTTGGCAGGAGGGGACAGCTAAAACTTCCTATTATACGTATCTGCAAATATATGAAACTGCTGGACTGGCTCCAATCTGAACAAACAATGGTGTGTTTGGCCGGTCCCCAAGTGCTCGGCGGAGGTATGTACAAGCTGGGCCAGGCATCTGTGGCTTGTTGATGCTTGGGGCGAAGCAACGCATCCATATTCCTAGCATGTCTCGAGGAAAGTTCATCCGGATCACTTTACACAATAGCCCACACAGATGAATGGCCTCCATAGTAAGGGTGGGGGGTCTAGTGTTATGCCTGCAGGCAGGAACGTGCATATGACAGATCAGTGTGCACTGTGCAAAGGATTGAAGAATTAGTATTTGCTGGATGATAGGTCTATGAATCACCAATAAAAAGAACTGTTAATGATGTGCAGTAGTCCAAGGGACCAATGACAGACTTGTGTCCAGGCCAGTAAAATTCCACTAAAGGAACTGGCATTGACCAGCCAATTAGCCTCTAAGTTGTTTGCAGCAGCCTCCATACCGTCCAATCTCCCAGGAGGCCACCGTCTGCTGAAACTGGATTCTTACATGTGTTTCTTCCAGTTCTGTCATAACAATCTCCTGGGGGACCGAACAGGCCGAGGCCGTTCCAAATACAGAAACCCAGCGGATTGACTTAAAAGGTTCACCTCAGACTGAAAGGATCCAGGAGAGGAAAAAAAGTTTCACTTGACTCTACCTTCCCATTAAAAAGCAACAAATGAAATCTGAACTGCCAATGCTCTGCAGGATATACTGAAGCTGTGCTTATTCCAGTCAGTTTACCATACGGTGATCCCCAACTGCTGCAGGTCCCCTACCGTCTCGGGTGTGTAGAATACCTCTGCTGTGTTCCGAAGGTAAAAATGAGTAGTAGCAATTCTTACAACCTAATAATCACCAAGACTGAGCTGTCAGTAACATCAGATACGAGGCAATAAATTCTATGTGACAGATAATCAACAACATGGAGCCCAGAGAGACAATAAGCCTCTAAGCTGTCATTCTACATCTAGCCATACACAGCTACACTTCACTCATTCAGCCCCAGGGACTACGCAAGTGAAGTCACCTCATTCCCCCATCCATACTAAACAGCGTGGATGGAAGTATCTTCCCTGCAGGCTAATGTATTCAGCTCCTGCCGCTGTCTGAATAACGGAACAGTGACTGCATGCGTTAGGCCTCATTCACACAAATATGAACAGCCGTAAGGCATGCATGTCCACGCAGAGACCTGCACCCGGTAGGGATAATTGGTGCAAGTTTGTCTTGACATGGTTCTGAATAAATGAACACTTGGTAATCCTTTAAGGATTTTTGGTGTGCTAGTGACATCCTTCATACGAGAACTGGTGCATGTAGCCATGTACAACAGGATGCAGCTGCACAAGGTTACAAGCCAACCCTAATTGGCCCGTCTGGACAGATATGGATGTACACCGTTGGACGGAACAACATGTCTCATCATCCAAATAACAGAAAGGGACTATAAATGATGATCAGTTTGCCACTTCAAAGTGTGTCTAAAGTCAGGGTGGGGAAGGACTTAAACCCTTGCCAGATTTGGTTTGTATATGTCCCATTGGATTGGCGTATATTTACTGCACAGCATATTGTGAGAGGAAATCCTGGCTAAAGCTGGCCATACACTAGTAGAATTTTGTTGGGGAAAAAATTGGTTGTTTGATTTTCTAATTGTTAAAGGGGGTCAAGAGATGATCGTTTTCCACCGTAGCGATGGGCTTCAAACATGTCCTTACTCTATCCAAAACTAGAAGATAAACTTGTAAAATATAAGTATGTGAGGGGGCTCAGAAGACCCTGGACGTTCAATGTCTTGTGCAAGGCAACCCCTGCTGCCTGAAACCTCCAACTCTTGTAGTTTCCCACCAGCTGGAGGCCCCAAAGATGCACAAAGCCATCTCCAGCCTAAAACCCTGCAGACATTGGGCCTATAATAACACTGCTGTCTGTGCTTGTCGCCCATAGCAATCACATTTTCCTCTCCAAGCTCCCATATTGCATTACAAAAAATTAATAGATCAAATAAAACCGTTATGGGCAACAGATGTTTTCCTACCACAGGCGGTCTGGAGCAACAGACGTTCAAGTTGCCACACAAAATCTGATTTCTAGCCGTCCAGCCCGACAATCTAGTTTCCACCTCATGTACTATGAATCACACTCCGTATGATCTCAGCATAATCCTTGAACAGCAGATTCAGCTTATCTCTGCACTAAATAGACAATCATGGGAAGGGAGAAAAAGCTCACTCAGCCTTTTATATATTTAAACGATATAATACCATTTGTCAATAGGGTAGCCGCTCTCGATGAATGCCCACCTTGTCCTTTTTGGCACATCAATCTCACCTTATTTTCCAGTCAATGTCTCACCTCCTGTCATATTAACAAGAGCTCTAAAATCTAATGTAGGAAATAACCATTACCTCATCGTTGGACACATCCATCAGCGCCCCCCCCCACATGAGCTCTAAGTCTAAGGGGAGTCAAAGGACCCCACGTAACTCCGCTCATCGAAAAATCTGAGACAATACGAAGGTGTAAAAATCCGTCGTGAAAACATGAATTTTCCAAGTGATACACCGTGCCCAGGAAGGGC